GGACTGGCCAATGCCACGGGGATGGGGGCAGGCCGGCGCTGTGGGAGCCAGGCACATGGTGCCTGATGGCAGCTGTAAGGGACGCTGCGCACCCCTTACAGCTGTCATCAGGCGCCCCTCATTGGTTGGCGCCCTGGGCAGCTGCCCGGCTCGCCCATGCCTCCGTCTGGCCCTGGGTGTAGTTAACCCCTTAGTCCCCAGGCTGCATGATAGCATCCCACTCCCTCACTTCCTGGACCCTGCCCTCCACCTGCTCCAAACCTCCTGTCAGATACGTGGCTTTGGCGCCTGATTTGGGCTATTTTGCACCTAAAGGAGAAGGAAGCTTCAGAATCTCAGAGTCCTCTCTGGAAGCTCCCTCCCAGCAGTAGAGGGGCAGGGGACTCAGCTTGAGGGTTTTGACTGGTTTCAGGGTCTATTCCTTTGAACAGAAGCAATAGTCACCTGTGTGGAGGAGAAGCCTCCGTATGGATTCTGCTGCTTAGCAACCCACTGCACGATCTGAGCTGCATACGATAGATTCTTCTGTGTCAGGGTGGGTCCCTGGAGCAGCGCCAGCAGCACATAGCAGGTCATCTCAATCTCAGCAGAGGCAGCGCGGGAGTTGAAGGAGGGGGATATTTCTGCCAGAGGCTTGTCTTTCCGCTCCCAGTATATGGAGCCACCTGAGAGGAGAAAGGATATTGTGAGAAGCCTGATCAAGAACCTAGTGGTTATTGTGCAATGCTGCCCTGTGGGGACCCAATGCTGGTACCTTGCTCCCATCCCTCTTTCACACAGGGCTAGGAGGTCTGGGAAGTTGTGGAGGGCAACTTCATTTCCCAGTAGCTACACTTTTGTGCTGCAAGAGACTCAAGATGCGTTTCCAGAGAAATGGAGTGGAAAGGAAAGGAAAGGAAAGGAAAGGAAAGGAAAGGAAAGGAAAGGAAAGGAAAGGAAAGGAAAGGAAAGGAAAGGAAAGGAAAGGAAAGGAAAGGAAAGGAAAGGAAAGGAAAGGAAAGGAAAGGAAAGGAAAGGAAAGGAAAGGAAAGGAAAGGAAAGGAAAGGAAAGGAAAGGAAAGGAAAGGAAAGGAAAGGAAAGGAAAGGAAAGGAAAGGAAAGGAAAGGAAAGGAAAGCTGCAAGAACATCCCACCTCAGTTTCCCTTTCTGTATAGGCCACAAGGTAAGGAGATATTCACAGAATTCATAATCAAGGCTGCAGCGGAATAAGAAATAACAGAGGCCAGACATTAAAGGCTGATGTTTTTCATACTACAGACTATTTGCCCAAACCACTCTTAATGGGAAACTCAAATGACACTCACCAACTTTTTTAGCTGATTTGTCCAGCTTATCTAGAAAGAATCTCCATTTCTCCTTGTTACCCGCTAAGCCATACGTATAAGCCAGGAGCGCTTGGTCATAAGTGTTATCCACATTCTTGACAGATGCAGCATCCAAGCAGGACAGGCCTTTGTGGACCACTGGGTGCTATCAATACAGATGTGTGTGAGAGTTGTTTGGAATACAGTTTAGTGCAACAACTTCTTAAAGATGTCAACCTCTCTTTAGTCATTCATCACTAGACTCTCATGCTGTGCGTGGCATGGTCCCTCTCACAGGTAGCAGTGTGCAGGAAGATCTCTTTAAGAGGAGGTCTTTTCTGAAAAGTGACCATGAGGAAATGGCACCTTCTTACTCAACATATCTGCTGGACTAGACCTGTGTGGACCAGAGTTTCATTCCTAGCTCTGCTTCTTGCCAGCTTGGTGATTTAGTCACTTTGCTTTTCTGGGCCTCCACTTCTACATCTGCACAAAGATAATGATACTGCCCTTCTTTGTCAAATGGTTGGGGATCAACTGATGAAAGGTGCTAGATGTGAGCTAGATATTATTTATTATTATTACTGTTATTTACTTGATGACTTTAATGACAAATAATTTTTCACTTCTGTCAGATATGTGGAATTATTCCAACTCTGGGAGAATGAGCTGGACTCGGTTTTGGCTCATACAACAACAAGGACTTGTTAACTATCCTCCAACTGCACAATCACAGATACATCAAATGAATATTAAGAAGGTGATAATGGGATTGCACAGGTGTAACTAAAGACACAGCTCAATCCTGGAGAATGTTTTATTGCTGTCTATCTTGGACTCTGATCTTGTCTCCACCACACTATCTGGGTGCCTCTCAATCTTTAAGGTATTTAGTCTTACAACTCTTCAAAGAGCAATAGGAAGCTCCATTCATGGATCAATGACTGGTTAAAAGTCAGGTGAATGCATCATTTTCAGAATGCAGAGAACTAAATAGCAGTGTCCCCCAGGGATCTTGTACTGGGACCAGTGCTATTCAACATATCCATCCATTATATGGAAAGGGGGATAAAAGTGAGGAGCAAAATTTGCAGAGAGAATCCTCGAACACTAGAACTGGAAGGGACCTTGAGATATCAAGTCCAGTCCCTGCCCTCATGGCAGGACCAAGCACTGTCTGGATCATCCCTGACAGGTGTCTGCTGACCAGCTCTTAAATATCTCCAGTGATGGAGATTCCACAACCCTCCCCACCCCCAGCAATTTATTCCAGTGTTTAACCACCCTGACAGGCAGGAAGTTTTTCCTGATGTGCATCCTAAACCTCCCTTGCTACAATTTAAGCCCATTGCTTCTTTTCCTATCTTCAGAACCCAAGGAGAACAATTTTTCTCCCTCCCCCTTATAACGCCCTTTTCGATACTTGAAAACCACTATCATGTCCCCTCTTAGTCTTCTCTTTTCTAAACTAAACAAACCCAGTTCTTTCAGTCTTCCCTTATAGGTCATGTTTTCTAGACCTTTAATCGTGATATAGAATTACTGAGGATATTTAAACCCAAAACAGATAGTGAAAAACAACGAAGAGATCTTCCAAAACTGGATGTGTGAGCAGCAAAATGGCAGAGGAAATTCAGGGTTTAAAAAAGCAAAATAATAACAATACATATAAAATGATTGGGCCTAAAATAGCTGTTATCACTCAAGAAAAATCCTGGAGTCATTATGGGGAATTCTCTTAAAACTTCTACTCAATGTGCAGCGACAGTTGAAAAAACTGAGAGAATGTTAGCATCCATTAGGAAAGAGTCGATGAGATCAAAATATCATAATGTCACTATATAAAGTCATGGTATATCCACATCTCACATACTATGTGCTGTTTTGGGTGCCCCATCTCAAAATATATCTATCAGAAATTGAAAAAATACAGAGAAGAGCAACAAAAATGATTAGAGGTATGGAACTGCTTCCATATGAGGAAACATTGAAAAGACTGTTGAGCTTGGAAAAGAGACAGCTAAGATGAGGATAGTTAAATCCAGAACAGATAGTGAAAAACAACAAAGTGGTCTTCCAAAACTGGATGTGTGAGCAACAAAATGGCAGAGGAAATTCAGGGTTTATAAATGCAAAATGATGCATATTGGAAAATACGATCTCAACAATACATATAAAATGATTGGGCCTAAAATAGCTGTTATCACTCAAGAAAAATCCTGGAGTCATTATGGGGAATTCTCTTAAAACTTCTACTCAATGTGCAGCGACAGTTGAAAAAACTGAGAGAATGTTAGCATCCATTAGGAAAGAGTCGATGAGATCAAAATATCATAATGTCACTATATAAAGTCATGGTATGTCCACATCTCACATACTATGTGCTGTTTTGGGTGCCCCCTCTCAAAATATATATTTCAGAAATGGAAAAAATACAGAGAAGAGCAACAAAAATGATTAGAGGTATCGAACTGCTTCCATATGAGGAAACATTGAAAAGACTGTTCAGCTCAGAAAAGAGACAGCTAAGGGGGCCTATGATAGTTGTCCATAAAATCATCAATCGTGTAAAGAAAGTGAGTAGGAAAGTGTTATTTACCCTGTCACATAACACAAGAATGAGGGATCACAAAAGGAAATTAATAGGCATCAGGTACCAAACAACCAAAAGGAAGTATTTCTTCACACAACACAAAGTCAACCTATGGAACTCCTTGCCAGGGGATGTTGTGAAAGTCAAAAGCGTATCTATGTCCAACAAAGAATTACATAAGTTCATGGAGAATAGGTCCATATGTGAGTATTAGAAAAGATGGCTAGGAATGAAACATTGTGCTCCTGTAGTGTAGACATACCCATACTGTGTGCTGTTTTGGGTGCCCCCTCTCAAAATATATATTTCAGAAATGACATTCAGTTCTGCCGACAAAGCAAGCCTCTTTGTCGACATAACAGTGTGGACGCAAAGGACAGTGTAGATGCAATAATGCCTTCTATCGACAGAACTCTGTGAACAAAAGGTGTTATTCCTCGTAGAATGAGGTTTGCATACGTCGACAAAACTGCTGAGTTTTGTCGATGTTATGTCGACATAACTCAAAGGCAGTGTGGACGCAGGTATAGTTTTGTCGACAAAAGTCCACTTTTGTCGACAAAACCCTGTAGTCTAGACACACCCTAAGTGTCCTGAAACCCCTGACTGCCAGAAGCAGTAACATATTGGACACATAAGTTCATGGAGAATAGGTCCATATGTGAGTATTAGTCAAGATGGTTAGGAATCAAACTTTGTGCTCCGTTACCACTCATGAAAAATCCTGGAGTCATTATGGGGAGTTCTCTGAAAACAGGGGAAGAACTGCTTGAAAGTTGCCCTGTTCTGTTCATTCCCTCTGTAGCATCTGGCACTGGACATTGCTAGAAGGCAGGATACTGACCATTAATTGTTCCAGTATTGCCATTCTTCTGTCATCATCATCATGCCCATTTTAGAAGAGAAACAGAGCAATGAAGTTATTTGCAGGAAGTCTGTAGCAGAGCACGGCTCTGAGGTTGGGCCTCCCGTGTCCCAGGCTAGCACCTAAGCCATGTCTTTCCTCTCTATTGCAGTCATGATATTGACACATGAAAACGCAGCCATTAATTGGACCCAGTATTGCCATTCTTCTGTTCACTGACCAAATCTGAGCTGGAGTCTGCCTTTAAGGAACTCTGCTTTCTAGCACAACTGGGATATTGTTGACAGCTAAGACTGGCTAATGATAAGTGGATCCCTAACTGCCGTTAGACTGGGGATACAAGACATGACTAGCTGATATTGTGCATGAAGTGCCCAGTGGATTTGCAAAGCCATTGACACATAATCATTCCAATATATCATCGGATACAATACAGACCCCTTGATATAGCCAGATACAAG